CTTTTTGGAGCAACTGTACATTGGTAGTCTTTCACAGCCGATGGAAAATAATAACTTTTTTAATAAAAGAATTAGAGTAAAACAAAGGTACCAGCAAGTATTGATAAGAATTTATCTTTATACTTTTGAAAATGGTTTTTCAAATCTAAAAACATTGGTTGAAGATATAAAAAGCACAATATTAAAAAAGCAGAAAAAAACCGAAAAAGCAGAAAGGACAGAAAAAAAGCAGAAAAATCTTCAAAAAGTAGAATTTTTCTGCTAAAAGCAGAAAAGGTGGCAACTCTGCTTAGTACACATATATATAATTCTGTAGTGATTTCATGAAATGATACAGCAAACAAATCTCTAAAGAAAAACAAAATATCTCCAAGTTTTCTGCGATAGTTTTCTCACTGGCAAATAGTAATCGTACAAAAGTCTGAGAAAGTGATTTTTTTCTACTAATGTCTATGAAAAAGTCAATTTGACACTTTGAATTAGATTGTTGTATGTCAGTAAAAAAAAAGAAGGAGTCGCACAACACTCGAAAACATCCTATTTTTTTTTTGAAAAGAACGGTTTGCTCTATAGTATCGTTCTATTCTGAATAAAATAAAATATATGTCTGCTGGATGTTTACCAACTGATGGTTTAGATTTTCTAGAAATCCTCTGTTTTAGAATCTGATAATAGTTTTTTATTCTTACTGTACATGTTTTTCTCTGTTCGAATTACTATTGGAATTCTTTATTTTTTTTTCGATCTCAATAGCGAAAATCATTCGAAAATAAACTTTGTTGAATAGTTTTGGTAGTTATTGCATATATAGACAGTTTTGCTTGGTTCATTTATAGTTTTCCAAGCATTCTATTGATAAAGATTGTGTTGTTTCGTGTAATAAACTTGGATTTTTTTTCATAAATCTCAATAGTAATTTATTTTTTATTCGAATAAATAATTATCGATACAGAAAAAAAATGAATTGAAAAAAAACGAATATTTCTTAATTATTTCTTGGATTGTAGGTTACTTGAGTGAATATCTTGATAATAGAATGGATGGAAATCCAAATCCTACATATGGTCAAATATATGGAGGTTATCCTGGAGTTGGAGGTTATGAAGGTGGATATGGTTATATACGTGGAGGATGGTAATAGAACTGCATAAATTCCAATTATTTTTTTTTCCTAAACATAAAATATGTTAAGAAGATCATCAATCATTGATTTTTCTTGCAATAATAATAAAGGCATTTTTTCTCGAAACTAATGTTTGTTTCAATAAATCTTGTAACAGATTTAAAAAAATCATTCAATTTTTCATAACAATGTAAACTAGAGCATAAGATAAAAATCTACAATAAGATATCTCTCAACTAATTCGGCGTACTTTTGATTACAATATACTCTGAAATCATTAGCTTATGTTTAACATTCTTCTTTCGATTAATAGCTCAAAAGTAAATAAATCTCAAGAAAAAAAAAATGTACTAAAACAAAGAGGAAAGTTCATTTTCTTGCTATTGAAGAGCTTAAGCTTATTCTTATATAAATACTTTTGTACCCGAAACACTTGTGAATCTCGTCGATATGCTTTGCAAATGAAATTTAAAAAGTAAATCTCTATCCATCTGAGATTCGCAATAAGTCAACATCGACATCATGTAAAGAGAATTTTAGTCTATCCTGGCAAATGCTTTGAGCAACTATCTTAAGCAATGATAGTTAAACTTTAACAAGCAAATCAGTGATCAAAAGTCTTGCATATACACTACAGACTTATGCTAGCTCAAAGTGTTTTGTCATGTAAGGTATTCTACCCTTCACGTATTTTTTTTTTTGATAAATTTTACAGTTTTTAACGAAATGTTAAACTTTTTTATCTTCCACGAGTCATAATTAATATTGAAAAGTCTTGTTTTGGTATTTCCTGAACTTAGGATGGCAGATAATTTCAGATAAGATTTTAATAAATAAAAAATGACTTGCAGAGAAGTTCATATTTTGCTTTTTTCTCTGTTTCACATGACAATTTTCTCGCCACTTTCAGGCGCGCTATAAACAGTAAATCCCCGTCTGAAAAAAAAGTTTGATGAACTTTCAATGAATTACACGTGATGCGTAGGTGATGAAAAATTCGCTTAAAATGATTCAACTTTACATTCAAGTGCGATTCTAATCATACGATAATCAACTTCGAGAAAACTATTAATTCGATATCTTACACTAAATACATGGCTTATTGTCGAGATATTTACTTCTTAATAAAATAAGCGATTCTTTCAATGTTTTTGAAAATCATGCATTTCATATTACTCCTATTTCTCCGTCAAGTTATGAGAGACGTTTGCTTGGAAACCTTTCATTTGAAAACGAAAAAACACTTGTTAGCATAAATTCTTTGGGACTTAAATGTGGAAGTTACATGTGCTCATTAGGCTAGCTATATCAATGCAAAATACATAAAGTGAAAAATCTCTTGCAGATTATAGTTGTTTTCTAAAATAATCGATTGACAGAGGAGGGATTTGTCTTATTTATTTGTGTATTTCATACAGCAGATCTGGGTGCATCGCTATATATATTGAGAAGTTCATAGACACTAATATTGATTATTTTCCAAAGTTATAACTTGATCAATTCACGTTTTTAATTTTGATCATGTAGTGACTATGGCAAAGCAATTCATCATTACTTACTATTCATGACATCATGAATGTAAACTTGTATATAGGCAAAAAATCCAAAAAATGGCACTATTTACAACATTCACAAGTGTGTTCGAGCCATTCAGATTTTTAATATAAGTTTTGCAATGTTCTTAAACAGTTCAAATCTTGTCCTGAGTTGCTAAGGTCTATAGTGGTGCGGATGAGAAAGAAAAGCTGTAAAACTTCGACTTAAAACTTGCACTCTCTGTTTTCAGAGAAAACAGATATAAGTTCTAGAAAACTCTTTTAATTTTAAATAAAAAAAAAAAAAGAATGACTCGAATTTAGTTTATATTGTGCTGATACTTTTAAAATATTTACTTATTAACGTTATATTTCAATAAATTGACCAATAACAGTTGTTAAGACATGATTAAATTATTATAGTGTACTAAAAATAATTGACTAATACATTAGATTAATGCTTTTTAATGACGATATACTTATTAACATCGTACAATTATATGATATATTTTCATAATTGATTCACACTAAAATAATTTGTTATGTATATTATAAGAATTTTTAAAGCACTACATCATTAGATAATATTCAATACAAACCATTTATATGATCATGAAAACTTACTAATTGTCGCTATCGATCCGTTTAACTAAAATATTTTAATTGATATCAGTATCAACAACATTTAAATCAACTCAAATTGTATGCTACCTTTAAGAATAATTTTATACAATAGATATGAACCTTTGAATCATGTGTCAACTTTCTAAAAATAAAAATAACGAATCCGTATTTGACACTACCTTGGGTCAAAACATCTCATTATGTTACATATAAATTATATTGTTTAGTTTTTACTGTATCAATTAATGGTTATAGTTCATCGCTTATTAAACAGAATATTACTTATTGATATTATGTATCTTTATTATTGTTTTAGGACAACCAAATTATTCTCTTCCGGATGAAATTTTTAAAACGACTAAACAATTATTAAATGTAAAACTTTAAACGATATAAACGACGATCGAAACTGTAGAGAGAGAAGGCGGTTCACAAATAACTTTTCTGATCTCTCATTCTAATGAAGGCTAAGAGCTGAGGGAGAAGAACTTTGTTCAGGACTGTATTGTGACATAATATTGCTGAAGTCAAATATCAATCATGATTTTCTCCTCAAACTGACTTTTCTCCGTTTACATCATGTTACACAGAAGTTCCTATCAAAAGGTATATAAACACGTTAATGACTCTAGATGTCTCTCTCGTTCGCTCAGAGAATCATAGTCGATGATCATCTGCGTCCTATTCACTTTGACCATTGATGGATATGATTACGAGTAGTTCACTTCACGAAACCCATGACCAATTGTGTTCAATCGATAATCTTATACTTGAGTGTACTCAAAATTTATCTCATTTGGTGAAGTGTCGTTTTTTATGAAATGAAACACAAAGAAAGGTAAAAAAAATACAAAGGTATAGCATGGTGAAAGAAGAGAACACACGCAGTGAAGAACATATCAATGTTAACGACGTAAGCACTACCTATCTTGTGAAAATGTCACGCTTCATAGATTCATCCAAACAAGCTTAATTAGAAAAAAAGAACTAGTAATTTTGTTAGCTATAAATATGTAATAAATCGATTGTATACGTGCATTCAAAAAATCTCAAACATTTCAGTATTATTCAGCACGTAAGTATATTTAATTTTCGACATAGTTAGATCACAGATGAAATTTCCGTAAAATTCATCAGTAACTACAGAAAAAAATATATGAAAACAAGACATATTTGCTTGTCATTAGTCACTAGAGTAAGTCAAAAGAAACCGCAGAAGCATACTCAACAAACACGATCAATATTCATAACTGAAATGATTTTTTCCACGTAATATATAGAGTTAACAAAAAAACTGAATAAAATCAAATCATTTCAGTTAGAATGATCTTTATTAATTGATAGGAAAAGTTCATGCAAACTTATAACTCTACTATCATGTAGAACGTATATTTTCACTTAAATTCATTTAGCGTTGCTTCGATTTTATGATTAGCTTTATGGAGAAATAATTTTATAGTCATGCTTGTTCACGATTATGCTGTGTCGAGAATTGAGCATTCATAATATTTTTTACTCGAAAGAAGTGACTAATATTTGAAATCATTGAAGAACTGAAAAAGATTCATGAGGACTGGTCCTTCATGGTCTCACACTAGTGAACGAACAAGACCAAAGAAAATCTAATGAAAAAACGTGTATGATAGGCTAACGGAAATTCATTTTGAAATGGGCTTTCTTCAGCTTCGTGGAATCAAATTTGTTGAAACTTCCCGCGCCTTCAAAAGACTAACATTGAGAACTTTCTGAGAGAGTTATTAAAAATTTGGTATTTTCAATAATACAAGGTTGATCGTGATTTTCGAGCAGTGACTCCTAAATCACAATCTTATGTAAATAAATCGATCCTATTTGATCGCAATCAATAATTAGATAATACTATGCCTGTGTTGGATAGTAATGCGGTAATCTTCAATAAGTATCATGTAGATTGTTTGAAAATCGCCGTGAAACTACCCATCAATATCAATAGATTCATAATACAACATCAATGATGATTATCGATAGAAAGGTCACTTTTTATTGAAAATCTAAAGCGTACTGATTTGTTATATTTGAACAAGCAATCACGAATGCTTAAATTACTTGAGGGAGTGTTGAAAGCTCTATCAGTAGATTTGTTCAATCTTTTAAAGCGTCTTCCTAATTGATGTGATTTAATAAGAATAAGGGTCAATATTTTGGAAATTAAGAAAAACAAGTCAGATCATTAGTGTATCGTATTGTATCGATCCTCATCATGAACATAGACTGTTTGGGTAGGCCACAGAAGAGACATTTACTGTAAGGACAGTGATGAAAAATGAGAGAGAGAACAACCACTATCACACCTAGCATAGATCTTCATGCCATTAAGGATCAAATGAGATTAGATGTCGTCGAGTAGGTCATAGTAGCTTTTTAGTTATTGGATTCTGTGCATGCTAATATGTGCCCTAAGAAAGTCAAGTTAGTTATGCTCATCTTGTTCATACATATTTAGTTACAATTGCATTTGTTCGATTCTTTATTTTGGAGCACAAATCTCATGAACGAATCACCGAAGAATATCTGCGAAAATGAATCATCGGCTATGACGACATTGTCATCTGTGGGATCGACAATGTTTTCTTTATCCACCTATGGCAATCGTGTGACTAATCCAAGTTTTGATAATAAGAATCCATCACACGACTATGATATGTTACAAGAGACAGGTCGATCGGTTGATATTGATCATCATTATCGAAAAGCGACTTGCCATGGAGTTGAATATGACCTGCATCAATTAGGTTTGAATGATAGTTTGAAATCAGTCAAAAATTTAAAATCAAAATCTTCGATATCCTTACCGACCTTCAGTGATCATCAGTTCGTTGTTAATGATAAAGATAATTGTAATGATGAACAGTCTTCTTCGTCTTTAACACGGACTCATTCGATGGAGCATGCTCAAACATTCGAACATAAGCCATTTGTCGTCTCGAATCAAAAAAGGTATTTATCATCTTGAAAAGTGCTTGAGAAGTACGATAGCATTGTTAATATTGTTGCTCTTCAGTGTCTTCCGACCGGTTCCGTCAACGTCGTCATCAGCAATAACATTGCCATCTGAATCCAGCAATTACACTTCTGTTGCATACGGTGTCGATTGGAGCGAACATGCTCGTCCAACATCTCACTGTTGGTTTCCATACATATTTAATGACGCATCGACAGATCAGCCATGCGCTCATTTGTCTTGTACGAATAGCAAATTGACGCTCACATCATTACTTCTGCAATGTGAATTGTGTGCGTTGATTATGCATGTCCATCATTTGCGTGATTCGCAGGTAACCATAGACAATTCAATTCCACCTTGTCGTCCATCATTCATCGATAATACAATATCGGAAAACTCGGCTGCTGATAATGAAGAGAAGCACTCAGATTATGATCGACATTTTTGGTCTTGTGTATCCGTTCTTACGAAGCCGTGTGTGTATTGTAACCATAAATCGACGTCTCTGAGCCTATCTTCTAGTAAAACTGGTCGATTATTGCGAATATCCGCTTTGAACAGTGACTATCAGGACGCATCAACCACAAATACAAAAGCTAGAAGTTATAGTCCGAAAATGTCTCGATCTTCTAATGGTCTCGTTTGTTTATGGTGCTCACGAAGTTACCATCGGTCGTGCTGGGAACATTGCACTGCTGAAGATGGCAAGACAAAATGTGACTATGGCATATTTCGGTATGTTTCTGATAGGAAATGATTGAACCAGTGACAGCTTCTAACTCCTCAGAGCCAGTCGTAGAAGTGAGTATCGAAAAAGTGACTACTTTTTCAGTTTAAGAATACCGCGATCGTTGTTACACTTATTTATTACACTTAAGTGATGGTCCATAACAAACGAATGACTTTGGATTTTTTAGACGATGTTTTCAATTTTTTATTATTTTTATTATTTGAAAATTTTAAATCATATCACTTGAATTTCAGTCTGTACAAGATGCGTAGCACGGTTTTTCGTTATAAAAATGAAAACGAAGCGGTTACAAATCTTTCTAGAGAGAGTGAAGCGAATTGTGAATATTCTAAGTAGATTGGGATCTGGCATGAAAATTTCTTAGAAACATATGAAGAATGTGTTAGTTTTGATCAGTTGACTTAAATAAAAAATATTTAGAAATCAATCACTACAGTATTTACATAGATGGTTTTTTTTTATTGAATTTTAAGCAAACAAAACGCAAATGATTCTAACTTTTGAATAAACAATGAATCTTTTCCAAGACTGCTAATATTCTAGAAGTCAGCTGAATTTTCAAATATATTGTCGAAACCACTACCGTTAATGGAGTATGAGTAATTTTGCAAAAGATAAAGCAAGAGATAGAGTCCCAAGTCCTGTTGTCTTTTGGTAATATGAGAAAAATAATCAAACGTCATAAACATCCATAGGAAAAAAAAAGAAGAGGTTTCATGTGCTCATAACGACTGAGGAAGTGACTCTTTATAGGTTAGAATCCAATCTGGATTAAAAAGCACCCTAACAAATTCACGATACTACAAAGGTAGAAAGAGTTTTTAGAAAAATGGTTATGTTCTAAGGTATATGGAAACTTCCAAAAAAAAGCAAGTTTTTGGAAGTTTTCCGAATTTTATTTTCTTTGGGAACATGTCCCTTGTTACACTCATTATCATCATTTTGAAAGTTTTTCATTTCATTCATCTGTCAGAGTTCGTCCATGAGTTGCCTGACCTATTTTGCTTGTCTCTTTCGTTGAACAGTGAGCATAAGCTACGATTGATATTGTGCTTTGTTTTCGATAGAGATATTATTGTTCGACCACAATGGCTGCGCCGTTCCAATGAATCTTCATCTAGTTTTCAAGCTTGTTTGCCTACACTTTCGGTCCCGAACAATTCCGAATCATTTCATTTTCCATATACACCAGTTATTCTCTTCGTAAACCAATATTCCGGTGGTCAATATGGCGAGAAAGTTTATCGACAACTCTTAAAAAGACTGAATCCACGTCAAGTCTTTCTTCTAGAAAACGATGCTACCATTATCAATGCTCTTGACATTTATTATTCGTTACCAAATATACGTATTTGTGTGCTTGGCGGTGATGGAAGTGCCGGTTGGGTTCTCGGTCGTCTTGCTGAAGTTTATCCATCGGGCAATAATCCACCGGTAAGCTTTTGTCCATTAGGAACGGCAAATGATCTTTCACTCATATTATCCTGGGGTAATCATTACGATCCAAAACTTCTTATTCCGTCACTGATTCGAATTCCTTACGCTCAGGTAATTCCAATCGATCGTTGGCAAGTCGATATCAAACAACTCGATGTGCCAAAACCAACTTCACCGATACACCGACATCATCGAACTGGATCTAAAATTAGTCGACCATTTCAAGCGTTACTTAATCCACCTAAATTCGTTCGCAAAACCAATCGAGTCTGCTATCAAAACCATCGTGCGTTACCAAATACATGTTTCATCAATTATATGAGTTTTGGTTTGGATGCCGCTATCGCTCTTGAATTCCACGATCAACGAACGCATGATCCGCAAAAATTTTCGTCGCCACTGAAAAATAAACTGATGTATTTAAACGAAAGTTGCAAATATTTGAGTGACTTTTCTAGATCGAAAATGTGGAGTCTTCACTCCTATATTCGTTTGATATGTGACGGTGAAAATCTAACTGATGCCATACATAATTGTCACACGCTACTAATCATCAACATTCCAGCCTATGCAGCCGGTACAAACCCGTGGGGAAACTCATTATCGACGAGTTCACCTAGAAACAATGCTCACCAATCACCGATTATTCAGAAAGATGCAAATTCTTTTGATCGCACAGCAACGAGTTCAACCAACGTGCCTAATTCTTCATCCAATCAACACAAAATGTATGAATCGGCTACCTTGAATAGTCGTAGTGAGAAGAACACTGCTATTTCATCACCGACAACAGACACAACCGGCAATTTCGAACGGCAAGATTTTGGTGATGGAAAAATTGAAGTCATCGGATTAAGTGTAACGCGTATGGCTTCGATCCATATTGGTTGCCATGGCAATCGAATTGCTCAATGTAAAAGTGTGCGTATTGAAGTCTCCTGTCCGATGACTGCACAAATGGACGGTGAACCCTTCTATTTACCTGATTCTGCTGTTGTCAATATTAATTATGGAGGTCAAGTACTTGTGTTAAGAAATGAAAACCGATAAATGGCAACACTTATTTTTCATTTAATCACCAAACTCATTTTAGCTGTACTTATACGAGTTTATTCTAAAATACAATCGAAATACATTCTAATGTGTTTGATTGATTTCTAGAAACTTTTTTTATCAGCGTCATCCTTAAAGCAGTCAGCACTAGCTCATCTGAGGGTGTGGTTGCATGCAACTAAATGCTGTATTTTTGAATTTTCGTAAAAGCATCGAGACTTGATAAATGCGTCAGAAAACGTCACAGTAAGAAATGTGCAAGTATACACCTATTGTTATTTAGATTATTATTAAGTTTAACAGAAAAATGTTTTTCATACCCGTAACTGACGTTCGCCAAATGAAACAAAATTGTTCAGTTTTGGGAACTTCTGAGCTTAGCGTATCCGAGATCTAGTTGCTGATAATATATGTATTAGTACTAAAAATAATGGTAATTTGATGCCGACAACTATGCAAATAATACCAAAACAGTAGGGTTAATTTTAATACTAATGCTTAAAGCATTAGTATCAATAAATGCTAATACTAATTCTTATATGACAGCCCTACAATTGATCGAATAAAAACTATCTGTAAATTTCAAATGAAAAATAATACACATTTATTATCGATTGTTACAGATTTTTTTAAAAAGAAATGCGAACGCGAGCTCAACAATATATTATTGTACAGTGTTTATAAGTAAAAAAATGAAGTTGTTTTTTTTTAATTTTAATTGAAAATCTTATTTAAGTAACGATAGAATATGATCAGGTTATTTTTCAGCTTTATTCACTTCAATTGATCGATTTAAAATTATTTTCTTGATTCGTACTAATATTGAACAATTAATTAATCATGTTATTGTATTTTCAAAACTCTATTGAGCAGAAAACTTTTTTTTTCTCACTTTTTAGAATCATTATAAAAGTTTATTTCTATCGACGATTGATTATACAGAAGAATATTAATCTGTTGCTATATTACTAGAATCATCTGGTTAAAAATTCTCTTTATATGAATAAATCAAAACGACACAATCAATCTTTATTAAATAAGCAATAAGAAATAAAAATAAATTAAAAATAATATTATAGTCTCAATCAATCATTCTGTTTTCAAATCAAAAAGAAAGACAAAGAAAAAAATCATTTCTGAGATGATTTAACTTGTCGTACACGTCCTATTAATGTTATAAAACTTTCATAACGATGTCGTAACCATTGAATATCTGCTATACGTTCACGAATTTTGCGTCGAATAACCATATACATTGTTAGAAAGTTGCCAAGAAAGAGAATGAAATATATTAAGGCAAGAACTTTTAATAAAATTTGCCAATCGGAATTAGGTTCAGCACTTTGATCAATTGATAAATTATAGAGAACATAAGCATTATACAGTTGAAATAGATATCCCATAAATAGAAATGGTACTAAAAATGTAAGTCCACGTAACATCCATGAATGAAAACCTTCAATTGTTATTTGTAATTCATCTGAATCACCTAAAGCTCTCAAACGATAAAGAAGACCTCTTTGATAATAATATAAAAGAACTTGAACATAACTAATATATAACGAAAAAATATAATGTTGTTGTCGAAATATTTTGTATGATTGAGTTGATGACCATATAAGAATAATAGATGAACATACTGTTGATATAAAATGATGTAAACGCCACCAAAATTGTATATTTGAACCATTTGCAACAAGTATTGATTCACGAATTGTTAATGTACAATAATACCAAACAAGTAGAAAATAAAAACCAGCATCAATTACACGACTAGCTGGTATTATTGTTGACATTAATAATGATACAATCATTATAATTAATGTAACACGTAATTTAAATTGTTCATAATTTTCTTTATATTTCCATTGTTGAGATTTATCTAATATAGATACAGGTAATTCATTTCCAAGAATAATACGTAAATATCGTTCAGGTGGCTGTGGTAATGTATATTTAATTCTTGTAAGATAATCCGAACGTTGTGTAATTAAATGTTCATGTATTGTATTTAAACGAATTACACGTTCTTCAGGTGTTTCTTCTCGTTTTTCACTTTCACGACGAATACGTAATAATTCAGATTTATCTTTTTTTATTTTATTTTCTTGCTTATCATCTGGAACAATAATTAATGATTTATGTATATCAATTAATTGTTTTAAATTATTAATTTTTTCTTGAATTCGATTAAATTCTAGTCGATGTTTTTTCTTAAGATTTTCAATTTCTTGTAATTTTGTTAAATATGTTTGATGTTGTTGTTCGAATGAATCCATTTCAATCGATAAGTTTTCCCATTGTTCAATAAGATCTTGAGCTTCACTATCAAATGTTGTACTTGATATTGTAGAATGACGACGTCTTCGTTTTAAACCATCATTGGATGGAATTTGCTCGACAGCAGCCATCGTTTATTTGAATATAGGCGCAAGCAATAAAGAATGCGCTGTAGCTTTCGACTATAATAACGTTATCAAGCTCGTGTTGGCAAAGATATGAGAAAGAATGGTAATAATAACAACAACCACGCGGATTTCTTGCTGTTCTTTTATTTTTCTCTTGTTTACTAGAATGACAGAAGATGCTTACATGTCAAGGTCATTTCATCTCTCTTTTTTAGTTAAACTTAATAATATTAGAAAAAAATTTACAATGTTCGTTTTCAAAATCGATTGATTTCTACTATATAATTAAAAAACGAACATTAAAGAGAAAAAGAAGACTATTATAAAAAAAATTTATTAAAAAATATTTCTAAGATCAAATGATTCTTCAACAATTTCCATTCGTATTATGCTAGTGCTTGAATTATCTGTCTAGTTTGACATAACTTCTATTTATATTCCATTATATATGATATATGATATTGATATCTAGACTCAGAGGAAATATTTTAGGCTAATTTAAATATTTCTAATGGCTGATTTTCTTCGGAAAAAAACCATCAATTAAAACATCTCTATGTTTTTTTAATTTGATTATATTTCTTTCGATAGATATCGATTATTTTCTATGTAAAGTATATATGCTTATTGATTTAATGTATCATTTGAATCGTAACATAGTTTAGATCGAGGATGAAGAACAATCATTGGTAAAAAAAAAACGATCAATTAGATTACCAGAAGCTTTTTCAATTGATTCTTTTCTGTCCTTTTGCGCACGTGTGTCAAAGGCCATACGAGTCAATTTTTAACTTAGTCAGAGATTTTCAACAAAATCATTTTTATCTAGAACAAATATATAATAATAAGCTAGAGATAAAGTATAGATAGCTGTTACAATAGAAAAAAATCAAGAGAATGTTTCCTATATCATTTTTATTTCTTTTTCGATTTGAATGAGAAACACAAAAAATAATATGCAATCGTTCGACAATAGAACAATCTATTATGTAAACAGTCAATAGTGTTGTGTACTTTGTTTTAAGGAACAATGCAGCAGTCGCTGATAAAATTTTAAAAAAAAGAAATAACTGATAACCTTTGCCAACGAATTTTAGACAATAGCTAGAAGAACATTAAATATTTCATTAAAAGATGGATTATAAACATGCCATTTTGTTTCTCGATGCTAATCCAAGTTGTAAAACATGATCCAGTCTTTTATAACTTACTACCAATGCACAGATAAAGTACGCAATCAAATGTGGCAGATTTTGTGTAATTTAACATGTGTGATAGAGACAAATCGTTTATAAATTCTAACCCGAGCAGTTTTGAGAAATATTGAAGTGTAGATGTTTTAACAAAAATTCGAGTTTTCAGTGACTGTTTAAGTGAATTAAAATCAGGTGTTTGACGAGATAAGTAATCGCACACCTGAACATCAAATACTTAACTGCATATCACATACAGGGTGGTCCAAAAGTAACAGGACAGATAATTTTTTTCGATTTTTTTTCTTTATACATCAACAGTTACATCTCATATTTATGCCACATATACTAGGTGGTACCAGCCAGAGATGGGACATATGATCAACCTCTAGGCGTATTAATTTGTTCCAAAGAATATAAATATGTCTTAATTGCTCTTATGTGACTATATGAAATATTCGATGTTTTTCATGTTACATTCGATTCCATTAAATTTTGTATTCTTTTAGTCTAAAGGAATTTAAAATCTGATAGAGTCGAATTTGTTTCTCAGATTGGGATAAGCAGACAAGAAGATGAAAATCAAATTTAACACGAAAAGCATCAAATCTCTCATATTGTCACATAAGAGCAATTAAGACATATTTATATTCTTTGGAACAAATTAATACGTTTAGAGGTTGATCATATGTCCCATCTCTGACTGGTATCACCTAGTATATTTGGTATAAATATGAGATGTAACTGTCCATGTATAAAGAAAAAAAATCGAAAAAAATTATCTGTCCTGTTACTTTTGGACTATCCTGTATATCATTTTATCTAGATAGCTTTGAATGGAGAGCATGAAGGTTATCATCTTGATTCGACATCTTACAGTTAGCCTCTCAAGAAACCAAGGTAAATGTACATCTTTATAGTTCAGGAGAAACAAGTAATATTTTAGCTTTTTCTTTCTACAACATTTCTCATCAAGCACCGAGTCTATATCATTTGAGCAATCGTCATCAACTGAGACTATACATTATAAGCTATTTTGTGCTACAGAAGTCTAAATTCTCAGAAATCCGAAACATTTTATTTCGAGTCTCAGGATTGACACGTAGTGCATCACAAAAAACGATCTCATAGATCTATTCTCGCTATTTTTAATTTAATATGACGTAACGAAAAGAAACTTGTGAAACATTCAATTTTGTGACTGGTGGGCAGCTCAATTACTGCCACAGTGTTTTGTTTTATATTTCCTGACTGCAATTCTTAAAGCTTTCATTTTGTAAGAACCATGGAAACATGAATGTTCGATGATGCTTTTTAACATACACTATTTCTGATATCCAAAATTTAAACGTACTCTTAGTGTTTAATGAGGATTAATCTAGTCGTCGTGAGATATCCAGACCACATTAACTCCACCTTTCGGACTTTGTATTTTCAAGACTTTAAGAAAAACATTAATGCTTCAATATTTCTTAAACCTCACTTATGTCAAAAGTTATAAATAATTTGTCTCTATCACATATGTTAGATTGAATAAAATTTGACACATTCGATGAAGCATATTGTTTGTGCATCATTGGTAACTTAGATAGAGTGGTTCGTAAGTACGACATATAATTGTTTTGGTAATAGTTAATTTTAAAGTTTGATGAACATTTGAGATGAATGTTGATCATGCAACAATCTTCCTCAATATCTGGCAAATTTATTATCGCTTATCATAATTCATTCGATGCATAATCAAATTTTATTCAAAAAGAATGATCTCATTATGTCTCATTGAAAAGTATTTTCGAGTTTGCTTCACATCACAAATGTACATTATAATGGAAGCATTAGAATATGAGTACACAAATACAACAATGAGTCATTGTCAGTTGTTTTTCAACATTGTAATCGACTCCCAAGCTCTAGTAGATTACAAAATGGTTTCCTTTGAGTTAATACACGAGTCATCCACGACTTTACAGTCAACTTCAACTTGAGTTATTACTTGCCAAAAATCGTATATTGCTTTCAAACATTTGTCATCTTCAAACCTAATAAATAAGACATAAAAATCATAAAGAAAAAATTTCCTCAATAACTTCTATCCGACTTGATCTTTCCACATTCAGGCTATTAAAAGTTGATATATCAGTATGTTTGTATCAAGTCTTAGTACAAATGCTACCATTTTTAGATAATTTCGGAACATTGATATAGCAAGGAAATTTTACAACTATTTTGCATTTATGTTTGTATTGCTTTGTCAAAAGGATCACACATGACTGCGTGGAATTGTATCAATCCTAATTGATGACATGCTACTCCTATAGTCAATTCAAATTATTCCTATATTTCTTTCTATAAATTCGGTTTCAAAGAATATTTATGTATTCATCAAACAGATTTGATGGATCTGTTCGAAAAATTTCACATTGAACTGAGAATTACACTGATAAAAAATGAGTAAAAAACATCAAACATTTGCTATCCAAAAAATGTACCATAGACTCTATGTGTCTGAATATAGGCAAATGCATTTTACTAATAATCTAAAGATTTCTAAGATCATCTTCAGACTTATCTCAGAACTTGTTTCTTTAGTGTGGAGTGAAACACTTTTTTTGTAACTTGAATGATAACCATCAAACTTTTACTTACTCAATTTTAATTAGAAGTTTTTCTTTATCTGTTTCGTCAGATTGACAGTATTGTATTTTACTGGCACCAAATTGTGTCAATGCATCTTTGAATCGTACTATCATATCTACACAAAGATATCTAGAGAATTCATCATAAGAGCGTACTTGGTACCTTTTGATTTCAATGTAAATACTTAGCGCTTCGTGCTTGAAGAACTCGGCATTTCGACCATTTCAGCATCGAAAAATAAAGATTCATTCTACAACGAAAGAAAACGAAAAAATTCTGATGTATAAATTCAATTTTCCAAATTCACCATAGGTATTTGTGGCAATGATGCAGCATGATTTTGATCCATGTGTACGCTAGATTGCAAAGGTACAGTTGTGTTATCGTCATAAAATTCAGAAAAATCAAATAATAAACCGAAAAAATTTCCTGCATGTTGATATAAAGTATTGAATTTTTCATATGATACTTTGAATAGATCGCATAATTTTGAGGACATTATCGTCCAAAATGATTGATTTTCAGATACTGTTCGAAACCATGCAATCATAAAATCTCGCTCAAGACATTTGGCAATACCAAAAATGAGTTCATTGACGCCAGATGGTGGTTTCGTAACTCCGAAGTCTTCATCAACGTACTTTGTACTATTCACCATTGTAACAAGAACAACTCGATCGTAATAAATGATACCATCTTCTTTGGTTGGCTTGATTTGTGGATGAACAGTATTCAATAATTTACAAAATTCATCCACGACACTTTGTCGATTACGGCCACTCCACATATTTGTACAGACAAGTGCACAGAAAATATTTTTCTGATGACATTCAGAGACCATCCAAGTAACATGATCTAATACGGCGAACGAACCAGGTGATGCACAATAGATCATACATAATGAGTGAGTTTTTTCGATTAATGATGTCATATAAGTACGAACATCATTCTCATTCCAAGATTCGATGCCTGGTGTATCCCAGAAAGTAGTCTCATGAGTTATGTCACCGACTACGCTTCGAGATGAATATCGATCGATACTTTTTGTACGAGAATTTAAACTTGCATTCGATTTTGAAAGTTCTTTTTGACAGATAGCATTGATAAGAGTACTCTTTCCGACACGAGACGAACCGCAAATAAGGATGTTCGATTGAGAAAAATTTTCTGTCATGAGCCTTTATTGTCTAGAAGCTAATTACGAATATAATGCAAGAAATTATATACAGAAAAAAAAAGAAATTAATAAAATATTCAATATGTGTCTCTCTCTCTGATAATAGCGAAAGAAAATATTGGATTTTCTGATCATCCGCAATGAGCTCATACTTAAGCAATTCGACATGAATTAATATTTTCTTGTTCTCCAAGTGCCTGTTTGGATGATGGATAAATATAGTGACGGTGGATATGAGAACGATGCTGCATCTTCTCTTCATCCACACTCGTCATTCTCAATAGGTTTTCAGTCATACTTCTTTGTAGAGCAGTGAACCATGGACAATATCCATGATTAATAGTAAAATTTTTTTCTAGCTCTTCGTTCGAATTTCAGTTCGCCCACAACGCGGCGAACAATAGCTGTCAAGTCAGGAAACACTTCAGTATGTATGAAAAGAAACAGTAAAATTGTCACCTGAAGTTTTATAGTGAACATGAATTTGAAAATCAATATATTTAGAGAGAAAAAATGGAAGGATCTCGACAAGGTGATTGTATCTCTTAACTGAACTTGGTCTGATCAATCAGCATTTTTCGGTATTTAACTTCATACGACAAACGAATTTAAGTGAATCATTTTTAACATATACAAGAGCGGCACGGATTGATGCATTAAAATAAGCAAGAAAAAAATCAAAATGATGTAACAAACGAATATAGATCACTATAGTTCATAACTTCTTAAAAACTGCATTCATCACCAATGGTATTATAAATTTTGCCATATCTTTGCCATGTTTTTGAAGAAGTTCTTCTAGAATAGGTCGAGATATATTGAATAATTCTACAACTTTATCACGCATCGTCAACCAGAATGATTCATTTTCAGCAATAGTGTAACACCAAGCAACGAGTTTATCATCTTTCAACGATGTTATGATGGCAAAAATAAGTTCATTAATACCTTCAACGTCTTTTCTAACTCCATAATCCATATCTTCGTAAATAATACTATTCACTGATGTACACAAAGCAACATTTCCATAATATTTTATATTGGCTTCTTCACGTGTCATAGCGTGATAACTAGTAAGAAGTGAATGAAAATCCTTTAATACTTCAGCACGTTGTTTACTTCCTCCACTGTACTTGTTCGTACAGACAAGAGCACAAAAAATATTGGATTTAATACATGTTTCGACAAGCCATTTTAATTGATCGAGCCGAGCAAACGAACCTGGAGACGCACAATAAATCATACAAAGTGGCGTACTTTCAACCATAATTTGCGTAAAATGTTTTTGAACATTATCTATAGTCCAAGATTCAATACCCGGCGTGTCCCAAACTGTAATCGTATATTCAGTTGAACTTGAAGCTTCATTAACTGATTGACAAGTTCGATTCAACACATACTTTTTTATTTCATTAGTTGTTGAACATAAACTGCTACTCGTTTTGGCTACTTCTTTTCCACATAAAGCATTAACAAGAGTACTTTTGCCAACACAAGTCGAACCACAAACTGCTATATTAAACTGCTTTACCATAGTTAATAGTGAAAATAATTATCTAGAAAAACAAAACAAAAAGACCTTTATTACATAATCATGAAAAACAAGTCAAAAAAGAATGAAAGCACACAATTACACTGGACGTTTTCGGATCATGTTGAAAATATACATTACCACATTTACCGCAATTGGTTGGATTGATTCACTGGTAATATTTTGTATATTTTCCATGCGAAGTGAAACAAAACCACTAAGATTCTGACTAAACTTTTCCCAATAAATACGACGGTATAGTACAGCACTACACCAGCCAAGTAATTTTTCATTATCGAGTGTCTCCATTATACAATGAATGAGTTTGTCAATACCTTGTACCGGTTTTCTCTCAAGTGAATATTCGGGATCGTAATATTCGATTGAATTGACCATGGTACAAAATGCATTATTACCGAAAATTGTTACTTTATGAGTAGTTGAGGAATGTAATTGATCAAAGAGTTTTTCAGTTTTATCACCAAAGCTGGCTAATTCTTTTTCAAACTCAGGAATGACTTCTTTTCGAAAGGCATTCGACCACATATTCGTGCAGGCGAAAGCTCAAAAGATTTTTTTTCTTGACAAAATTTTAATATCGGACGAATTTGTGCCAAGTCAGCGAATGTTCCAGGCGCAGCACAGTAGATAACACAAACAGGATCTTTCTCTTCAATGAATTTACGCATAGCTGTTGTTCCACCTTGATCAGTCCATGATTCGATCTCTGGCGTATCATAAAAATTAACTCGAAATGGTTTTAAACCAGGCATTTGTTGTTGATTGTCTTCCAAAAAGTAACATGTGACATCTTTGGTACATGAATTCAAACTAGCACTGGTTTCAGCTTTATTCTCACTGTTACATATTGCATTAATGAGTTGATTTTTGCCAAAACGTAGTGAACCCATGAGAATAATATTGAATTGAAGTTTTTCTGAAATGTGATATACTTCTGTCGAATAATAATCCTTGCATAAATTTTCTTGTATTTGTGAAGTTTTGCCGTGTAAAGATGAAACTGTGCTCTCTTTAATCTGGACTGTCATGTTCGTTGAAATGTTGACCAAGTCTGCATTTGAATTTAATCCTAATCTTTCAAATGACGTAGTCATTTTGTTCTAAAGAATCTGATCCAGTTCGTCTTATGCCCTAAAAATATACATTTGAATCAATGAGTTTATCATGATGACAATCCATCTGAGATTGTTTAAGAATTATTCTTCTTTCATGCTTTGTTAAACATTGAGAAAGAATTTTACAATTCAAATTCGATGACATTTTTTCTTCACCTCATCAGTTATCACATGTACTTACTGTGTTATTTGATGAATGGTCTTCTAAAAGCGATAATAATTAATATATAGATTTATATAAAAAATTAAATTCAATCTTACGTCGATGAAATCTTGAATTATCTTTGTTAGAACTACTACTACTTGTATGAGTTTCATCTAGTTCCATACAATTGTTATGCACATGATATGCATAGACTCCTCGTCGAATATATTTTTGACATTTGAAACATTTCATAGTCTTATTACCGCATGGAATTAGATGAACACCCATGACATGGGAGGTTGGTATCTTTTCATTACATAATTGACAGAAAAATCCTCGTTTTTGACAATTCGTTTGCTGAAATCATTATATTTTTTATCAGTGACCTTCAATATTTGCTAACCTTATGTTCATCCTAAGCTATCTGATTATTATATTCTTGTCCGTAATCACATGTAAATGTGGATCCTACATTGTTGCTAGCAAATATTCCATTCGACTTGTTTCTATTGGATTTAAAAAAGAGAAAATTTGAACTAATTACTCATATTTGAGACAAGACTCACTTAGTTAGACGATCGGAGGACGACATGTCATCTAGAATAAAAAACGTTCATAGATTTTATCATATAACAATAGTGGCCTTACAGTGAGGTTAGTAAATGAACTCTTTGAACTCTATGACAATTTTCTTTTAAAGGAATGAGATCTTTGGAAGAACACTCACGTAACCTAATACTCAAATACCACAAAACTTTACTAAAAGGTAACCATTGGTGAGGAATTCAAATCCGAAGTTATATTTTGATTTGATTAATATTTTTATTATTAATTCATAATTTTTAATATTTATCATAAATCTTTGCACAGCATACATTGGGTATGGCACTAGAATTGATTAACTATAAGGATACAGGAAGCACAACTTTAATGAAAAATATTCAAAAATTAATAATTATCAATAACAAACATATTAATAAAGTCGAACTTTGGCTTCAAATTCGGATTCTTCATCATTGATTATTTTTTGATCAAGTTTTGTGATACTGAAATATGGAATTACGAAAGCAACTCATATTTCCATACTACCAAAGGATCCATTCCTAAGAAACTAAAACTCTAATACGCAACCACCTAAAAAATTAAAAGCAACTCATAAAAACTTGTCAGAATTGCAACGAAAATAAAATCATAGACACATGTGCTTTTTACAATTCTGTTCGAGAAGTTTAACGTGTTTTCATGCGTTTGATTTTTGAATTGAGTGCATTCATTGCAAGAACAAGATCATCTTCCATAAGGCTGAGTTATTTGAAGTAGAATTTAGATGTCCAAACACTCTAGATCTATCGAATATGATTATTCCTTCGAAGAATAAACTTAATTTAAAAGCCATAGGTTTACTTATATGTAAAAATATATGTTAAAAATTATTCTACATGTAAGAAGCTTATTTAACTATTGCATATTCTGTGAAAGTAACATAGATAAAGATTGTGTCATAGATTCAATTCCATTTGGAGTCTTTCGTATTTTTCGAATGTATAAAGTTGAATAGACGTAGAAAATATATATTTGGAACATCTGAACTATCATCCAAAATATACTATACTCAATCGATACCATTATAAAGCAAATGTGGTACTAAACAACATGTTAAAATATGCTTATCAAATTTATATTCTATTCTTTTGTTTTGTTTTGTTATGATGAGAAAAACATTAGTCCTACACTTAGTATCAGTCATTGAAATTAATGCATCCTTATCAAGCTTAATGCTTAAATAGGCGTAGACGTATTTTCTTTTACATGTTTAAGATAACAATATAACGAAAAAAGAGTAAAAAATAAATTTGATGGAATTATTTTTATATTTTTACAAATAATGTATTGCCTTAGTAAGGATGTCAGTTAAACACAATAAATTTTGAATAATAACTTAAATGCTACTTTCTAACATACATATTTTGTCTATTCAACTTCGTGTTTTCGAAAACTATGAAAACAATCAAAATGGACCCAACTAAGCAGATAAGAAAGAGAACAGACATAACATAAATGAATAGAGTAGAACTGAAGAGAAAAAAAATACATTTCAACATATATATATATACGCTTGAATCATTAAAATAAACTATTATTAGTTGGAACTATTTTCTAACAATAACCCTTGACAATATCTAAATTATTCAGAGCCACGGTACTCAATATATTGAATTATTCTAAAACGATCATGACTCATAGTACCTTCAAACACATTGCCAATTTGTATCAGACAAAAACAATACTAATAAAAATGCGTCTTTTTAATGGCACTATCATCAAATATGCATTTACATTCGCTTACCTGATAAGAAAGTATAATTTTGAATATGTTGTAAAGTTTTCTTATGATTCATTGCAAAAAAAAAGTCAACAAATCATGTGAATGGTTGAAAATATTGACTAATGCACAATATGCGAAGTATATTGCATGATGAGCAAGAAGAAACAATGGAATGAAATATTATCAATTTTCATGTATAACCTATTTATTCTTCTATTCTGATTCAAATCAGTGATTCTTACCTGGTCTTACTGAGTTAATACTCTCGTCTGTCTTTGAACACAGTAAAATTCGTAAATTTGTCGTGCGAATGGGTTAAAACGTGAGAGTCTAAAAGCATTTTACGCATCTTAACGCATTTTTGTAGGGGTTCTGCTTGACTGGGTACAGGACATTTCACTAATTAGCAATGAAACCCTAGTTGCGTCACTCGTTGGAACTTTATGTAGCATTGTTGAAATCAATTTCTCAAGATCATGCATAATAGCTTCCAGATTTCTACAAATCAATGAATAGACGCATCCGTTTCTTTATGCTATTCTTTTTTCATAATAGGTAAAATCATACTGCGAAGTCATCGAGTTTTTGCTAACAATAATATATTTTACAGAAAAAAGTGATCCTATAGCCATTGGACAAAATCATGTTGTTGATGTTTTTTTTTCAAATAGTATGAATCACTGAAGAAAAAAACTTCTAGAATTGATTGTTACTACAAGAGAGAGGAAGAAAGACTGCCTGTGGAAGAGAATCGACGAAGAAAATAGTGAACGAGCAGCTTGTATTGACTCCGCGAGAATTGTTTTATTAATAAAAATCGTCGAATGCATGTCGATGACAATGATTGTACAATCATATAATAAAGAAAATGTGCATAGAAATAGTCAAGTGCCGTTTCTTTGTCAGGTCTTTGTCTGTTGTTAGCGTATTTTTTTTTCTAGATGAGAAAGTTATTTACGTAAAAAAATCAGATTGTTTGTCAACCATTAGTTTCTATTCCACGATTTTGCAAAATAAGACAAATATATTCGCTATTTTTTGTATCTGCATGGGACTTCGATGGTACTAGGTTGGCAGGCTTCACCTGATGACTAAGCAGAAGACTTGGGATTTATCATCAACAAATTTTGATTTATGTCAATAATATCGTTTGAAATTCATTTGACACTGAGCATTGCATATGTTCAGATATTGTCTATGAGAGTTATGCAATCTTCTATTGCGGACACAGAAAGTTTTTGTGTTTACACAGGCCACATTGTAACTGCTTGAACAAAGCGTTTCGCAGGGAAGATCTAGGTTCATGGTTCATTCATGGGCGGTATCATGGAAATGCCATAGTTCTTACTTTTATCAGGCTACATTTGAAAAAACGCACGTTATAGATGTTGTTTATTCTGTTTTTTTTTATTCTCTTCATTCTTTCTTATTCGTATTTTGACAAAAGCTCAATCTGCGACACATAGATACTTAAGTATACTTTAAGAATGGTGTTATAAAACGTAAAGAAATCATAAGATTATGATAAAAGAACGATTTAGGATGGAAAATAGCCACATGATTCTCTTTCTCCTTTCATAACTTATTCAGAAAATATTATTGCGAATTTCATATTAAGATTAAATTCAATATTAAGGTAAAAAAAACTTCAGTCTGATGTAGCTAATAATCAAATTAAAGTTCCTCATTGAAGGACATAAACATTAGTCTAAACTTAGTTCTGGTACTAAAATTGATTTGTTTTTAGATTGGGAATTTCCACTATTTGAATTCTGATGCTGATCGAATGGTTCTTCTTTATTAGACGGTTCCAGCAGCAAGATCCTGCTCGAATTAGAAAGAATTATAGAATATTTATTCAATAATTCACTTCCAATGATTCCTTTGGCTTGACCCAACACTAATAACATTTTAAGTGATGCTGGTAATGAACCAAATGTCAATGTTTCTACTTTTCCATTGATGTCGACATCGATTTTATAAACATTTGTTTTATAAGTGCCTATCGTAGGATAAAAATCGTCCATCTCACCAAATGAATTACCGACAAGAAGTTCGTCGCTCAAATAAGACAGCTTTGCACCAGTATCGAAAAAAACTCTTTGATCTTCCTGTCCGATATTCAATTTTATAATCGGTACGCCCATCATAGTTTCTATAATAGGTAATTTGATTGCTGTATCTGCATGCAAGATAGGTATATCAGAAAAAGTTATTTGATTTCGAGTAAATCGAATATCGAAATGAGCTAGAATATCCATACCAATTAGTCCATCTACTTTAAGCCCACTGAGATCGTTAATTGAATTTACTGTAAATCCATTTGGACCAGTACTGTTTATCAAGAAGTTTTTTCCATTAATGACAAGGGTTGTTCCTTGTCCAAATGAAACTGGAGAGCCAGTGTCTACGATGTAACTGAACTGATTCATATGAGCGACGATATGACCGTCGAGAAATTGAGTTACAAATGTACTCATTTTGTTAAATTATTTCGGTTGTTCAAATTTTACTTGCATCAATTCACTGAAATTTGAATATTTTTATCTAAAATTAAGCATTTATAGATGATCAATTCATATTTCAGTAACAAAACCAATCAGAGTTATTTTCGAAATGAATTGTTCATTAAATGACTACCGAGGACCTGATTGCTTGCTCATAGGTTATTTTAAATCGATTCATATTCTACTGTTCATTGCTTTTCAACATAAAACTATCTTTTTAACAGGCAGACTATCAACACCAAAATATGAATAAAATAATTAATTATTCGATACACACTGAAGTGCTCAAGAGGAAGTAGATGAAATTGTCATACACTCCATATTTCATCATAAATTGTCGTCTTTTGGTATATTAAATGACTCCATATTACGATCATATTTCTTCGCATACAATATAGAGAAATACGCTCGTATATGAAGCCATACAATTTGCCAAAAGACGACAATTTATGGCAGTTACAAGTATACTTGTTTTATCTGAGTAGCGATAGAAATACATGATACTTTACTTCGGCAAACAAAACATAGATATATAGCAGCTCCAATTGCAGAGAAGCATGAAAGAAAAATACTTTTTTTTTAAGTAGATGGCGTTACTCAATGAAGCTTGTTGTATTTGAGTTTTTCTTTGCTTTGCAAAGTTTTAAGTGTTAGCTGATCGAAGCAATTTTAGGGAAATTTAAAAACAATCTTCAATTTCAATATGATTTACTGATTTTGTTGGTGAATAATAATATATCATTCATGAAATTTACGTGCAAAATGAGACAGAAATATATATGTATATTCATTTTTTCGAATCTTTACTATTTAAAATTCTTGTAATTTTTCATGATGGAATATTCGTCGTATGCACCGAAAAGTATCTAATAATAATCAATTTGTAACTCAATCAATCACTAGTTCCAATACGTTTTCTAAAATTTGTCGTACTAGTAAATTATTTTTGAGCAACCAGGTAAATTAATAATTTTTCAACTATTGACTATATCTTCTATGCCAACGATTGATTGTCTTTTATAAGAAATTAAAAGACTTTATTGGAATTAGTTATGTTTGTTGTGTTTCAAGTCGCTAAAAAGGATGAGCTACTCGAAACACTGACAATGACACAATGTAACAAGGCAAAAGAAATGGATGTATACCAGATCGAGTTTTTTTCGAAAAACGTCGCCTATTTCTCTGATATACTTTTTATTTGTTTTAACAAACTCTGCAAAGAAAAACTAGATTGAGAATATGTTTGTTTGTTAATCAATATATATTTGTTCTTGTCCAAAAAGACTCACATGTTTAAAGTCACATATTATTATTCGAAAAAATTGTCAATAATAGATTCGAAAATTGAAGGATTGTATCGTATATACTTTTCTGGTTTTTGTGAAAAATTTTTGTGTGCAAATTTTGTATAATATGTTTTGAACATGTCCAAAACATTTTTTTTACTTTCAGTTCGCAGATGATTACGTAACTGAACATCATCGATAATATATTCTTGATTTTGTTGACGAAGAGTATCGATAGCTGTATTCACCGTTGAAAAACTTGCTTTCAATTTATTTCGATCACATTCATTCAGCTAAATAAGAATAATAATAATTAAAAGAATAAAGATCAAAATTAACTAACTAGACCGCTTGAGAGATGATTCATGTTGTCATAGTTTAACATTTCTTGAATAGCCATTCTGAGAGGTGTATAACTGAATAGAGAAGAACACGATGAGATATTTTATTTCTATGCATATATATATATATATATTACTGATCTTTAAGAAGTATATATTTGTGAGTGGTTTTTGTAATAAACACAGACAATTTCTCTTCTTATTGCTAAACTAGAAAACTTGTGTTTGCTTTCATGAACGTTTGACAATTTTCAGTTGAAATGAAAACTTAAAGTCTAATCTATCTAGTTCGACCTTGAATATGAGGATAAAAATTCTTCAAATTCTGTGCTCTTTATTAATTGAAAAGTGTCCGTTTAGGAAAATACTTAGCATATTATACCATTTCAAAAACATTTTTACATTTGTTTGCATACTGTCTTCTAATTGTGATTTGAGACTTGGTTCCATTGTGTTAATCATCATCAACAAAGACGAACTAAATAATAGATAAAACGAGGATAGAATTAGATAAAGCAGATTATCCTGCTACCTTTGTAGTCGGTTGAGAAGATAATTGGTATTATTAAGAAGGAATATTGCTCGTGTAGTTTTATCGTTATGTGGAATATACATTTCTATCTTTGTCGAAATAGTCGCGCGAAGTGTTTGAATTAAATCGGCTGAAATATGTGTGAAGAGACAATGCGAAATAGAAAAATTCAACACTTACTAAAGAAACTTCTCAAATTGAGATGACATTTCTCTAGAGACAATAAAACAATACCAGGCATGAATTAAAACTCAAAATCAGTGTATATAAAATATAAAGAAATATATTTTACTTGGTTTTTTTTCGTCATTACTGAATTTGATAGTATTAATTATCTCTTCGTAGTCACGAAGCCCTTCCATAAAACTTAATACATTTAACGTTAATGGATGTACACGGCCACCTTGACTTAGTTCTGATGAATCGTTTCGAACCTCTTCCAATATCATGCGTAGGCATTCATTGATCTACAAGTATATTAGAATAATGAAATGCCGAATGAATCGCTTACTGAATGTTCGAATATGGCGGAGAGTGCGCTATCGAATTGATATTCAGGTGCTAGATCATTTTCCTAAACGAGAGAAAAGGTCCTATGTTAGTGTTCAAGAACACCGTTCATGTTCATTTTCTTTATAGATGAATCAAAATATAGTTGACTTGTAGTCAATTATATTTGATCCAGATATACCGATACTATTTACTCAATAGTTTATCTCACTTGGTAGAGTTTGATAAAAACAGCTTTAGATTTACGAAACCATTGAATAATTGATAGAAGACCGTAAAAAGCAAATTTTCCGCTGTCGATTTTATGCGGTAATTGCTCGATAGCTTTACATAACTCTTGTGCCTCTTCGTGAATATATGCCAGTGGTAATTCGGCTAATTTGATGAAGACTAATGATTTTAATTCATTTGAAAAAGTATAGAAAAGCAAGTCCAAATCGCGTGATAGAAGTATAACAAAAGCATCGAGTAAAAACTTATAATTGTTTGTTTCCAGATCACTGCTAAAACGTCCTGATGACGATAAATTATTGTCAGCATGATCATTGTATGCTCCCATTTCCGGTAACGCTAAGGTATTTTTCGATGGAGAGCTTTTACCATCGAACACAGGTGAACGCGCAAAACGATTTCCTATTCCACTAATGAAAATAACGCAAAAAGAAACTACATAAAATATTTTAAAAAAATACATAAATTTACTGGATTGTTGTTTTGAGTTTTCCTCGTAATAAGTCCGAACAGTATGAAGCTCGACGTGAAGATGCATGAGAACGAATGCTGGTCATATAGACCGATGCACGTCGCGTACAATTTCGTTGTAGGTGTTCAGCTAGCCTTAAACAAGGAAAATATGTAACTGTAGAATATAAGAGTACATACAATTTAAGAGAAGTGCAGCTCATGGTGCCTCTCTTCGAAGCATAAGAATTAATAAGACCCTGTTGAAATCCATGCTCTTCAAACCAATCGAAGATAATGCGAAATATACCTAGTTCGGACACTGTAATGAAATATAGTTTTCTAGAATATGGTTTTCAAATTCTCTAACTTTGCATGTTTTCAGTATTCATTGATATTAATGATGTTGACCGGCATAATTCAAGCAATTCATCGGGTAATATTGATTTAGTATATCGCATGATAACTTCGTCACATGCTTCGATAAGTTTTTGTAGTCCAATACCATATAAAGCGATTAAACGTTTTTGCTCATCGACGACAGCTATGCGTTTAAAATACATAATAGCATCATTCAGTCGGTCCAACTGGACAAAATAGCCAACTAAATTGTCATTTGGTCCTGAAGTTATCGTTGAATATAAATCATTATAAATATCACAATAACCAAACACAGAGGCGGTAAGTGAATTCTTAGATTCTCCATTGATTACCAGACGCCATAAGTTACGTTTGGCTTGTTTCACAGGTACAATCAGTTCGACTATTAATTGAAGTTGCCGATTAACATTGTCTAATTCTGCTGTAGCATGATTGGTTCGCATATCTGGTTGTGACAACGACTTGCGTCGTAAGGCTGGATTGCACTTTTCCTATTCAGTAGAGTGTATATTATACGTGATGCTATTCAGGCTGATTGAATAATCAATAAGGCCGAATGATAAACAGAGAACAACAAGTTTTATTAATATTTTTTATAGAAACCTTCTTAAAGCTGTTTATATTGATTGAGAAACGTGCCATTATATGTTTACTATTATGATGAATACTTCGACTGTATTTACTTTTTCATTTTATCTCAAAGAAATCTATATCAATCAGTCGTGATACAAATCTCTCATAAGAAAAAGTTCATTTCTTAAAGGATTCTACTTTTTTTTACCTGTCGTAGTTGTGATTGCCAAGCTCGTTCACCGTACATGTGATAGACACCTTCCATAAAGACACTTATTCAATAGCTATCTGAAAAATTGCAATGAATATGACGTTATTAGAAATTATGAACAATATGATATAGACGAATTAATCATTTAATGAAGAGTTTTACAATCATAACTTGATGCAATCATTACTGCGAATTATTTAGGAAGAGAATTTTGTTCGAACGACTTCCATTACCTGAAACATTTCTTCCTGAAAAACTGATTCGTTTACGTACGTGTTAATATACTGTTATGGCTGTCGTTAGTTTTTTATATGCATTCTTAATGTTTGAAATGAATATTTTTATATAACTATTAAGGATTGCAGGCTGAAAGCAGAATGATTCATCGTGATTCTCGGCGTTGATTTATTAAGAAACTAAATATATGCTGGTTCTGTGTATATGTATAAGAGAAAAATTTCAAGCGAAAAAAAAGAATTACTTCCGCAAGTATAAGCATAGCTCTTTACATTCTGTTTCTTTCTACGTTCTATTCGATTTTCAAATAGGAGACGACATGATGCTATTCTAACCAAAGTAAAATACTTCAATTTGTAATCATGAAATATTTGTTAAAACTGTCACAATACAAACTCTCTAGTAGAAAGTACTGTGAGCCGAATAAGTGCTACAATTTATGGGTGTGAGTATCGACGTTGGTGTTAGAAAAGGCAACACTAGCATACACACCTTGTCGGTAAGAATCATACGGGCTAATTTACGAATTGAAACTAATGAAATCATTTTCATACAACAATTCGATTAATCTTGGAGTAACATCATAGATAGATTAACGATGTCAAATGTAAAAAAACAAATGGACTGGACATGTTCATTGAATGATGGTTGAATAATTCTATTGAGAAGATTTGATATAGCAACTGTTGGACCATTTATCGGTGAAATAATAAGTCACAATGGTATTCTTTGTTTATGACATTTTCAGACATCATCATTCTATGTTGTCATTGTGTAACTTGTTTTATTTTGAATGAAGATCATTCAAAAGATGTGTTACTTTAAAAAATATTTCTTCCCAGCAGAGCTCCGAATGGAATGGGATGGGAAGAAGAATTCGTCCCAAGGGATCCCATGGGACAAATCATATTATAAAAAGACTTTCTGAAAATTTAGAGCCGATTTCTGTGGCTTCTTCATTCAATTACCGTAGCTCTCTCCATACGTCTAGATTTAGACCAGTTGTTTATTTGATATTAAATTTTGTATACTAATCATATATACGTATATTCGAATGGATCCTGATTTTTATAAAATCATTTTAGACTTAATAAAAAAAATCTGCCTTTTAGATTTAAGAAGCTCTTTCGTTAAAGTGTTTTTTTATTCATGCAATCAGTAGCTACGCGACAGTCTTTTAAGAATATACGCTATTATTGAATATAGAACTTTGTCAATACAGTTTTAGGTCTTTTTATGCGCCTGGAAAATAGATTGAAACATTTTTTTTATGAAAAATAGTAGAAAAAACCAGTAACGAAAGTATTTGTTTTGAAGGAATAAGATCAACAATCAGAATATAGTAAATTCTATTATTCAGTACTGGCATAAAGTACTGGCTGAAGCCATATTTCAACCAAAAAAGATCGGATTTTTTCATAATAAAGAGAAGAAAAACTCCCATATGACCACAAAATCGCCCCATCCCATCATTCCTAACTAAAAAAAATTTCGTCTCATGGGATCGGATTGTTCCATCACATTCGGAGCTCTTCTTCCCAGCAATTAGATAATAATTCTATATAAACACGTGGTTTTTGAAAGATAGTCTTATGCTTTCATGTGATTAACATATGAATGGCTAATATGAAAAACAGAGCTTTTGTCTGTACGTTGAAGTGTAAGGTCTGATTTAATTAATTTAAATCACTATAGTCATAACTCAGCTTTTCACAGAATTACTGAAAGCTATCTTGATCGATATTGGATTTGATGTGTGTGGACTGTGCTGGACTTTTTGTGGTGCCCATGCAATGGTAAATTCCGCTTTTCAGGAAATTCAAATAAAGTGGCTATAGGAGAAATTTCATGGAAATTTAATCGAATGCTTTTAAGGATAATCATAGAAAACTCGTCTCATTAAAAAAGAATGTAGAAGGGTGTGGGTGTGGGTGTCTATCGTCTCTTAAACGATGCTCACACTCACACTCATACCCACACCCTCCTCTTCGATGACAATGAAAGCCACAGAAAAACTTTGAGAGTCTAGAAAAAAAAAAGTCATTTCCAGAAACTTTTAATGGACTACCTGAGTTTCAAAAATTTGGATACAAACAATTTTCAATCGCATGAGAAAGAATCAACAGATACTTATATTTCGAAGTTAGACCATTGAATGAGAATATGTTTAGTATATGTTTTTCATATCATGAAGTTTCCAGCAGTAAGCAGAATCAAGATGCTAAAAACTCATTGTCCTGATTTTGCTATTCTTATTAATTTTTGAAATATGGAAAAGTACTTTTTTGAATCACAACTAGCTGAAAGTATGCTCTATTAATGTAAAGAGAAATTTACAAAAAGTCTATCGTGAAAAAAAATTAAAAAGAGAATTATCAAAATTCTAGCGAACTGATTGAATTACCACAAGATAAATAATTCGAATTTATAAGACAATCTAGGTGGCATAGTTTAAATCACTCCAACAGAAACCACTTCTATCTTATTTCATCACCCCCTTGCTTATCTCTAACACATCGTTCTTAATTTGAAAAAATATGTAACTTGATAGCCCAGAATGTCTTCTATAGGATGAAAAGTGCAGAATTTCAGATTAAAAGAAAATAAACCTAAGAATGTTATAAAATATAAATGTTTATTTCTCTATACAATAAGGATTTATTCAACATTTTTGTGTGAATAAATCACATATTCAGCGCAGCTGATCACATCTACGGTGATCATCGTGTATGTATTTGATGAATCGATAGTAAAAGGAAAATTTTCCAGAAAATTCCAGAAAATTTTTCTGCTTTTCAAAATATATATGACTCGTAAATTTTTGTCTAATAATTCCAAACTAAATACTGTAACATAAAAAGAAGAACGATAGGATGATAAATTTTAGTTCCGTTTATTTATTATATAAAAGTTCGTATAAGACGAGAAAATCCAAGAACAAGGATTTATAACAATATGAACAAGTGTTTAAAGTATCAATAAATAGGATTTTCAGAAAGAAGTGCATGATCGTTGTAGAGAAATCAGTAGTTATTATTTAAATCAATTGATGTCAGCTCAGAATTTAATTCATTCAGATGTAACATAAGAAAATGAAACGTTCTAGTGAAGATTAAAAAACGAATGACAGAGAGTTGGTCTTGAAATGTTATCCTCGCATTTTGCACGCATGATTTCTACTATTCATTTCTTGGGGTTATCGTGAGAGAAAGTGACAGTTTCTTATTCGTACGTCGAGGATTCTATTAAAGAAAATAAGTGAATGAATACATAAATGCTTTGTTTTGCATCGTGTTACAACAAGAAAAATTTCGATGGAGCTATGTTAATCGCGTACATGGCTACAATCGTAATTAATGCTGATATCTTACATCAAATGTAGGATCGAACAAAATTAAGCAAATAAATCAACGGAAATAGAAATATAAAAGTCTAGAGTCTTCGTTAATCTCTGTTTTATGGGTGAAATATTAAAGGGTATTTTTTCTAGTGAAAGGCTATTCTAATTAGTAGTGCATTGCACACACTTGTCATCAAGCTAGAAGCGAATGGTATAACTGATCATGATTGGAGTGTGGTTGTGAGATGTGTGAATATTTGGCTTCGCGGATGAACAGAAAAACTACATCCACGTCCGAAGATTTCTCGTAAATTTATGCGTTTTGAAAATATTTTCATTTGACGTAGCCGACATCATGTTAGATCTGGCCTGTAGCACCATCTATTTATCGTGTTTTGTAATTTATCGATTTTCTAATCCAATCCCAGTTGTTATTTAACAAAAAATGATAATATTTGCCTCATTTTCGCAAATTCCAATACAAATACATCTTTTACAAACGAAAGTTTGATTATTGTATCAATATCTTGTTCAGATGGGTAAGCTGTTAGTAATGTTTGTCTGTTGAATTCTACTTCGAGCATAAGCACATTATCATAAATACATGTTGATCGATGGTTTTTACCTTTCTTAAATTGATTCTCGATATTTCTCTCCTAATGATTTGTCTTTCTTTATTTAGAAACCATGCATGATCAATCGAAAATAATCACTTTTGAATATAAGAAAAATGAAAAATCGTTCAAAGTGCATAAAAAACTTCCATATGAAAATCTCCTTCATGTTGTCAAAATTAATTTTGGGCTTCCTGATGACACAGCAATAGTACTTTTTGATCCTGTCGCAAACTGTTGTATTGCACCTTTAACAATAACTGATCTATGGGCTTGGAACGATAGAGAAATTCCGAAGTATCGTCTAATCGTTCGTAGTGAAACGAGTAAAAGTAAATAAACTTTCTGTGTTCGATTACCAATACTGGTTACACGTCCTTCATTTTTGAGATTACTTGTTGACAAATGATTCTAACAAGAAAATAACATACGAAGATTGTCATCAATCATAGATAGAGCTCTTCCAAT